ATAAATAGAATACAGAAAATAGATTCTGGAAGTATATTGCTGCGATACACTTGACGTATCAATAAATGGCTAATATTTTTACAGCACTATCTCGCAACTCTTAGCGCGCGAATAAATGTCGAAAGAGTCTGCTGCACCACGAAATCGTCATATTCGTAACTCACGACGTACGAGACTCCGGTCGCTTATCTCTCTTCCAGCTCAGCAGTTAGTGGTAAGGCGCGAAATTTCATAAAGCTACAGTTGGAGCGAAATTTGCGCCTAGCGCGGTGGCAGCGCCGGACGCGAGTCGCACCGATACGATCGGCGAAATGGCACTTGCGGGACTTTGCGTCTCTCCCGAGAGACGTCGATGATGATGGCCGCAGCAGCGTTTCCCTCTCCCGAAATTCCCCGCCGTGTATTTTGTATTCCGCGCAGTGGCCTCCGCGCACACGAAGTTAAACTAAGTGCAGTTTGTGCTCACTGGCCATCATAACGCCGGGGTATATCAGGTCGATTGGGATACGTGCCGCATTCACCCTACTTAAGCCACGGTTTCGTGTTCCGTTCTCGTTGCTCGAAGCTTCGGATAAAATTAGGTATCCGCCTCGCTGGCTGTTATATAGTTATATAGAAAGCACCATCTGCACCGTGCAAACGCCGTTGCAATTAGTGTCGGCCGAAAGAGCTCCTCGGCGATTACGTTTCCGGATGTGCGAAGGATCTGGACGCGTGTACGTATGCAGGCAAACGGCAGAAAAAAATGCAGAAGAAAGTGCGAATTTATTCAATTGCAAGACGAAACACATGTGCCAATTATACGAAATCCTTGACTTTCCATTTACAGAAGACCGTGTAATTAAAATATTTTTAAAAATGTGAACCTGTGCCGGAAATAAAAGAAAAGAAAAATGAGAATTGCCAAAAGCGTACCGTTCAAATAATTTTTTAATTCTACATTTACAACAATAATTGGTTGTCCTCGTTTAACATTACCGTGTCGGATATTGATTGCAGATATTCTTTTATTTTACAGTCGCATCTTTTATTCTCGGCTGCCTCGACGAGATTAAATCACCGCCGGGCGGTCTCAGTTCCGTCGATAACGAATGAACGTTCATAAAATCCAATATAACAAAAAGCACTTTAATAGCCGACAACATGCATTATCGCTCTTAACGAGTTTTTCATAACGTAACGTACGTGATGTTGATTTTAACGCTACTTTTTACGACGTGCCCCTCGTCGCCGTACATTTAACTAACGCACACGTGTACACCGTTGATATCTTTTTACTACTATTATGAAAAAGAGCGCATCGTGTTCATCTAAGTCTCGTTAATAGTCAATCTGGGAGGCGGTGAGAAGGGAGGGAGGGGGGGAGAGGAGGGAGTCGTGACATGACTCTGTGCATTGGCCTGAAAGCCAAAACGCGCTTGACGAATCATAAAACATTTAATAAAATCCAAATGGCGGTAAAACGAAACGCAAGCTTGACTGGCCGTCCACCGGTGCGCGCATCGTTGAAGTTGATTTCATATTGTTTGCCGTTTAATTATATTATATCTCATACATATCCGCGACCCCTCACAGTGGCGTTAATGGCTGTGAGCATCGGCCGCGGTCAATTATGTCAGTTGTGATGCCGCTGAAAACGCTGCGTTACTCACGTGCAACTCGTCGAGCAGAATGTCGGAACAGCGAACGCGGCACGCTTTATTAATTCGATAAAATGCGATTAGGTACGGCGGACCACGGACGCTGTGTAATAACGCGATGATTAAATGGAAATTAATTAAAGTCTACGTGTTATCGCGTCTTCGTAATTTACGAGCCGGGCTGAATCTAGGTGAAAGAAGTTAATGGGACTCTATTAAACTTACTGCTGAGATATAATTTACGAAGGTTCTTCCACGCGATTCGCAATTTTAATTTTAATGACGAATTCATTGATAAATTTGAGAGTTTGCATCATTCTCGGGGCGATTATTAAATTGCACAAAGAAATATAGAATGTAATTAATTTTAGATACGTGCTGCAATTGTGTGTGTTTTGAAAGTTTAAAATTCGTTGAAATCACGAATAGCAGGAATCAGCCTTTAAAGATTTAAGTCGTAAATATTCAGTATCCTTGGATTATAGAACAATTGTGGGATTTCAAGTAGCGTGCAGTACCGTCGGCGTAATATTATTCTGTTCCACTAACTCATCTCTTTGGATACAACGCCCGCGAAGGTGAATAAGAATCACGCGCACTTAAACATATTCAAGCGTTTCGTGGCCAAAACTGAAGAGAGAATCATCTCGTTGCGTTTTATTAGTCGCGTCTAATAAGTAAACAAACTCTGTTTCATGTTCGAATAGAAAAGCGATGAACAATTGCAATTTGTGATTGACAATCGACGTATCTTTTCGCGCGGAAAGAATTGATGTGAGTCATATGGCGAAATTTTAGAACAGAAGATTGTAAATTCACGGAAGAACAAGGATGCGAATTATAAAGGTAACCCGAAATATATCACGAGCCTTGGTTTTATATGCTCGTAAAAAGCATCCATCATAGAGACCGTTGGTTAGAGACCGGTAGCACTCATAAAAAAAAAGTACCGTCCTTTTCGCAAAATCCTGGGTTTCGAGAGTGGTTGCCGTCATCAAATTGCGGCTATGCGCTCGCGAGAGAATTTTTCAGCAGACTGAATTCTGTGCTCTACTACTGCGCCGAACTATCTGGAATTTCATATAAAATAACGTTAAAATCAGTCAGTGCTTAATACAATTTATTATATATGAAATCAGCGTACCGAGTATATCGAATAAACGAAGATTTAATCGCCGTTACGATCTTTGAATGGAATATTTCCCATTGCATTTTTAAATAAAAGTTTTCAAAATCAACGATCAACAATTTACTTCATTATTAATCTAAGAAGTGACCCAGAATCATATTTAAAGGTTAGGTATATTTGTCCTTCAGTATATTTAGCCAAAACAATTGTGTAAAATTCCGCGTAATAAAAGTAACAAATGCGATTTGTCTCATTTTGATTTATTTTTATGATTTTTATACGCTCGCAGCGATA